GGTTACCCATGGGCAAGAGAGGCTGGTTGGCTCAAAGCCCACTCTGACCGCTGTTCCTTCCCTTTCTGCAGCATCATCATGACCATCTCCTCCACGCTCCTGGCCCTGGTCTTGATGCCCCTGTGTCTGTGGATCTATAGCCGGGCTTGGATCAACACTCCCCTGGTGCAATTGCTGCCCCTCGGGGCAGTCACCCTGACTCTCTGTAGCACTCTCATCCCAATCGGGCTGGGCGTCTTCATTCGCTACAAATACAACCGGGTGGCTGACTACATTGTGAAGGTAAGGTCACCCTTCCCATTACATACTGGGCAGGCAGGGAGTCCTTGGCCTCTGACCCATGACTGAGAAGCTAAGGAGTTTGGGAAAGCGGGGTAAGGAAGAAAAGGAGTTGGCAGCCTTCGCATAGAGAAACTTAAAAAAAAGTTTATGCCTCAAATTATAGCTTTAATCAAGATACAGATTAATTAAAAACAGTGCAAGAGAACTATCAGTACTCATAGGAGGAAACAGATCATGTGGGGAAAAGACGGCAGTGCAATAAAATGGAAACATGTCCCACTCACAACTCATGTATTACAAAAAAGCAGGTGAAATAAAATTATTCTAATAGAATTTGTACAGTATTTTGGAAATGCATTACTCTGTTTTTTAAAAGTGGAACGCTAATTCTGAGAAACTCTGCAGATGGTCCCTTTAAAATGTTTTATTAATTTTCTAAAAATAAGTTGACACTAATAAGGCCAAAAGTAATTTAAAAACTACGTCATGACAATATAATAGAATGCACAAAACATTGGCTTTAAAGCACAAAACAAAATTAGGTCCTAGATAAATAATGAATATATTGCCATTACTAAATTTGTGTGTGTTCTTTTACCTTCCCCATTGCAATATTTCATATGGTCTCTAAAGGTAGTGAAACAATGAAAATTTCTATTGTTTTTGCAATATTTCCAATATTGGTTTATTTTGAAAAACTGATGCTTTTTGTATCAGGAGAGATTTTGTAATGGGTAACTGGAGAAAAAAATTAAATATTTGTATATTAAGCTTTCTTTGAAAACTCAAAAATAGTTGTAAATAAGAGTAAACCATGAACAGGATTCTCAGTTCAGGAAGTTGGTCAAATAAAATACAGAACCAATTATTGTAAAATGTACATGCAAATTCCTTTAGACAAATGATGAGAAAGAACTGCTCCATTATTTCAATTATGTAGATTTAATAAGACAATCTTTTATGTTTCACTTATATTAATTTATTTTCTAAAGTAATCTGATTACACAGAGGGGCTAACTTTTATTAATATGAAAAATAGAGCATTCTTTTCTGTATGTATATCCAGCCTTGAGTAAAAGGACTTGTGCTCTATAATAAACATATATTCTAATGTAATAAATATATATGTACATGTAAATAAACATATTTTACATATTCTAATATATCCATAGATAACCTGAGATGCATTAAGAACATATTAAGCTTAATCATTAAGCTAATGCTATTAATGTGATGGTATTTACTATAAAACCAGATTCTAAGAGAAAGTCAATCAAATAAGCTAAAAACAGATAAACATATTTAAATTATAGACAATTCAGTAAGATTGGCTAACTTTGAGTTTAATCTGAATTTATTCCCATTCCTTAACCAGCACAGTCAAAAGATATGCTTCATAACATTTTTACACTTTTGCAAACGCTTTAAAATGAACATTCACTATCAGTCAGTGCTCACACAAATGATTTAAAGTAATGCAAAGGAGAATTTGGAGCCAATATTTTCACAGTGAAAAATCAGATTTCCTGCCAAAGCTTTTGATGTGGGCACACTTTGAAATTTCATGTAAGAAAAGTTTTTATTTATAATGGTTTGGTTTCTGCCAATTGTACATTGGTAGCATGAGTACCTTCTGTAATATTTATTTCAGCATCTTCTAGGGTGAACTTTTAACCAACCCAGATAAATTTTAAATAATTTTTAAAGAGTATAAAGTATTGTCTATGCCAATCCCTCAGACTCCAAAGGGGTTTCCTCCCAGATATCCAGGGAACCAGAAGCAACACTTAAACTACTCTTCTGGGCCTGTAGTCTCCCTCACAAATACCCCTCATTTCCCATTTAAAAAATAACAAGCTAACTACCAATCAGAAGGAGAACTAGGAGAGGAATTTTTAGGTTTCTACCTTGCTATTTACACAGCCTGTCTTACTTGAATGAATGAAATGTACCAGTCAGACATCAAGATGACATAATATTTTATACAGTTATTTTATATCGAAAACCCATCTGTTATATATAATAATTTCTAAGCATCACTAGACACTTACAGGTGGGAGGTTTCTCATGAACAGATGAAAAATGGGGGAGTTGCAAAATTGCAATGAATAGCTCACATCTTACATTTACCTTCTCTTAAATAATCTAGGAGTTGGTAATTATTTTGATATTGCTAACAATTCCCTGAGATATAAAGGATTGTGAAGGTTAAAAATATCACACACTTGGCTTCGTAAATTTTAATAGCGTGTTATCTCATGTGTAAAACCAGAACTAATTTCTCATGAAAAACATGGGGTCCTGTTCAGGGAAAGTAATGCCCTTTTGTCCACTCCATTTATCAGACCATACCTGGTGTATTGGGTTCAATTCTAACTGCTCTGTTATACGATGGAGGCTGAAAGCCTGGGGACAGTCTGCCTGGAGAATAATAGCCTTTCCTGTGTACCTGTTTTGTAAATTTTTGAAGGCTATTTTGCAGGAGTAACTGGTCTACTATGTTGCCTCTAAAGGCCTATCCAAGACAATGGCTCACATTTATAGAAGGCAAATTGTCAATAGACATAAGGACAGGTTTCCAAACAACTAGAGCTGTGCAACATGGGTTTGGATGTCTCCTGAAGAGGTGATCTACCCACCTTTAGAAATATTCTGTCAAAGACTTGAGGGCAAAGATCTCTATTTTTGTGTGGGAGGTCAAACTAGATGGTTTCTTCTTCCAAGGGCCTAAGATTCTCTTGCCTGAATTCCTCTTCAACTATCTTATTTTTGATGACTTGTTTATCCATTTTCTATTACTAGGTTTCCCTGTGGTCTCTGCTAATGACGCTGGTGGTCCTATTCATAATGACCGGCACTATGTTAGGACCTGAACTGCTGGCAAATATTCCTGCAGCTGTTTACGTGATAGCAATTTTTATGCCATTGGCAGGCTATGCCTCAGGCTACGGCTTAGCTACTGTCTTCCATCTTCCACCCAACTGCAGGAGGACTGTATGCCTGGAAACAGGTAGCCAGAATGTGCAGCTCTGTACTGCCATTCTCAAGTTGGCCTTTCCACCACGATTCATAGGAAGTATGTACATGTTTCCCTTGCTTTATGCCCTTTTCCAGTCTGCAGAAGCAGGGATTTTTGTTTTAATATATAAAATGTATGGAAGTGAAATATTGCACAAGCAGGATCCTCTAGATGAAGATGAAGATACAGATATTTCTTATAAGAAACTAAAAGAAGAGGAAATGGCAGACACATCCTATGGCACAGTGAAAGCAGATAATTTAATTATGATGGAAACCACTCAGACTTCTGTCTAAACATGGAGACACATAGGAGCTTCTATCTTGCTGAAACATTACTTCATATTTATGGTCTGTGGTAGTATATATGGTTTACATAAAGGATAACAATTGGTTCACACGATCATACTTATAACAATTTTGATCTTCCCATTGTAAGGTTGCCTTGGTATATAGTAACCAAGTGTTTTTCACAAATTACACATCAATTTCATAATATAACTTGCACTTGGACTACTGAAGTGAAGCCTGAACAAGTTAAATGTGCTGTTTGGTTTTCACCATTACCAATTTCTATGACTGTTTCAAATATGTAAACTCTTAGAGAGCAGGGTCTTGGAAATGTTGAATTTTGGTGCACTATCTTATATGAGTAAAAACAAGCTATATTTGTAAAGTATAATTGATTTGATGTAATTGTTGTAAAAAAAATGTGTGCTCGCTCAACTTATGAATATCTAACAGTGTTGAATTTTGACCTGTATTTAGAAAAAAATACCAAAGCAGGTCAATTAAACCATGAAATATAGTATTTTATTGTCAAACCTGTATCAAAGCAGAGAAAAAATTATATTAACGTATTTGATTACTTCATCTGGTATCTGTTGATAAAGAACAGTCCACTCATTTCCGGTGGACAAGGCCTTTTCTTTTCAATTGGGAACTGAGTTGGTCATCTGCATTGACCTTAACACACCCCAAATCAATTTATCTTTGGGAGGGATGATTGGATTAGGAAAATTTGTAGAACTGCTCTCCACCCCAGAGAAGAGCAATAATCATTAGTACCTCCTGGTGCTCAGCCGTGCCTCAGATCCCCATGTGAGGCGGGGGGCGAGTGTGGGAGTAAGCACGTGCTCCAGAGAAGACAATCAGGCTAGGTATGGGTGCCCTAGAGTGCTTTCCCTGCACGCTGACTGAAAGGGTTCAGTGGGTCGATTTATCAGAGCCCCTCTGAGATAATGAAATAAACTGTAATCTGAGATTATAGGTAACAGACCCAAAGCAGTTCCCCAAACCTTTGCATGTTTGCTCACAATCCAGAGGCACCCGGCCTCGCCTCGGCATCCCGGGTGGCGCAGACACCTGGGACAATCAAGGTATAGGGATCACCTGGCTCAGCTAATCCCGGCGACAGTTCTCTCTGGTTGGAATGCCTTTTCCCTCGGGGAAGCTCCCTTAACAAAAGTTCTCGGATCGCAAAGAAAGCCTTCTTTCCAGGTCATCTAAGGGTATCGTGCGGACCTCCGGGTGTAGACAATTTCCAAAGAGAAGGTCGAGGAGCAGCCTTCCCGGCGGGGACGCGGGGACACGAGCGGTGGCGGGAAGGGTGAGCGGGGCAGCTCCGCTTTGGTGAGCCGCGGTGGGGCCGGCGCCGGCCGCCCCCGCAGGGCCGCCTATTTAGGGCGCGGCGGCGGGTGGGAGCGGCTGGGGCTGCGCTTATGGCTGCGTTGGGGGACAAGGTGCTGGACGGTTACATGTATCCGCCGTGGGCCGCCTACTCGTACCCGTGCTCCTACCTACCCGCCGCCAAGGCGAAGGGCTTGGCAGGCGGGGGCGGCTGGCGGCACCGCCGCGGGGACTACCCTCCCGCGTCGCCCTCGGCCGCGGCGGCCCCGTCGTCCTTCCCGGGCTACGGGCAGCTGATGGCCGCCGAGTACTTCGACAGCTACCAGAAGGCGCAGCTCATGGCGCTGCTGTCGCAGGCGAGCTCCGGCCTGGCCCCGCGGCCCCGCAGGGCGGGCAGCCGGGACGCGGCCGTGCAGGTGAACCCGCGCCGCGACGTCTCGGTGCAGTGCTCGCTGGGGCGGCGCACGCTGCCGCGCAGGCTCCGCGACCCCGGCCCCCCGGCCGGCTCCGGCCCCGAGGGCGCGGCTGGCGGCT